ACATTCAGTTTATAGGTTCCGGAAATCTCAACACTCAGTACAAAATATCGAAGAAAAAATACTTACCAAATAATGACATCATAATTACCGAATAATAATGAGTTATAATGGAAATACCAAATTATTGACATCATGATAAAAGTTTTTTCGCTCTCTAATCTGCATCGAGATAAAAAAGCAGAAAATTCACTCAACTCTTCTTTCAAGTTCATGATTCACGTTGTATTTTCTGAGCTTTGTTATTTCACGAGATTATTTGGTGCTGCCTTCTTTTTTTATCCAGATATTTTGTGGATAAATTAAGAATATTTTTAATTTCAGCCCTTTTTAATACAATAAGATAAGAAACACACTCATGATTTTACTGCTTGCAACACGTGAAAAACGTAAACACGTTGCATTGACGGTAATGCAAATAGTGCAAATTCTGCAAAAGATGGAAGCAGGTGCTACTCCTCGGTTTATAGCAGAATCGTATGGAATTGCAACACGATTGTGTATGATATATGGGAAAATAAAGAAAAGCTGTTGAAATTTTACAGCGAGAGTGATTCTAACACCGGAATCTGAAACCGGAAATCTTTGCATGAGGTGAAATCGGCAAACTCGATGCTGTGTACATATAATACAATGAATAAATAATCAATTTATATATGTAATAATAATTTAATGCATATAATAAGTTATTGCAATAATGGATAGGATTGGGTTACTTAATTATGGCAAAGCACACGAGGGCTATCTGCCTAAGGGGGAGGAATGTCTGCGTGGAGGACTTTCTAAGGGAACTGGCTCGTATACACGTTACACATGGGGAAAACCAAGAAAACGCCCATGCAGCCAGCCCGTTCACGGGATTCGAACCTCGGACCGAACTACCAGTGTTCAGCGTCTTTACCGCTCAGCCACTGGTGGGCTATTGCAATAATGTATATAATAATTGAATTAAATGTATCTAATACGCCTTATTTATTTTGCACTTTCAGTCTGAATATTATAATTTATCTTTTCTGTTCTGAAATCTGCAAAATCCTAAAATCTGCGCAACCTCTGCGGATTTCTGGACTTCTACTGCATTTTGACACAAAATTGGACATTTTCTGAAATGACATAACAATCTTTTTCATATCTCGATTCTATGTCTCAAATTATACCTAAATATTAAATTTTGTAAAATGTTGTAGGTTATAATTCAAAATTTTTTTTGAAAAATTTATAAAAATTACTTTAAAATATTAATTTTAAAAATTAATCATAAAAATGGGTGAATTTTATTTGGAATGAAATTAAATTTCAAAATGTGAAAGGAAGAATCAAATAAATTTAATAAAACAAATATTAATAAATATATAGAAGATTCAATTAACATGGAGGAGCTAAAATTTAAGAGCTAATTTTTTAAAAACTACTCATGCAATTTTTACAAAACTTGGCAGTTTGGCATAACTTGAGTCATAGAATCAAAATATGGGAAAAAATTGGCATGTCAGTTCAGAAAAAGTCCGATTTTGAGTCAAAATACCTATATTAGAATAATGCTATATATAAATTTAATACATATCCTAAGTCATGCTTTTGAGACATGAAAAACACAAGTTGAATTTTGTCAATCGCCCAGAACAGGTGATATAGAACTACCCCCCTTTTTTGGGGGGGCACAGTGTACACCAAATTAGCCATTTAACTCTGAACTTGCTTTATCTACCTTGCTCTGACGAATTATCTTAACAATAAAACACAATGAAAAGAAATTGAATTATCTTCACAATGAAAAGTCTAACTACAGTAATATATGCAAGAGATAAAATTTAACTAAAACGTTTATTAGCCTAACACACTAGTCCATGGATTCCTAATTATGTCAATGATGTCCAAAAGGTTGATAGCCAAATATGTATTGGCAAATGATTGGCATAATCAAGATTTCGATTATCATAAAAATTATAGGTACTTTCCCATTTTGCTAGCCCCAAAAATTGTACAACCAATGCCAAACAGAATGAATATCCTCGCTGGTAACCTTCAACACCTCATTTTCAAAACAAGTTGCAACCATTTCTTATCAGATTGATTGTTTCTTTCAATACTGGCACAGAATTTTTACCAGATAAATCAATTTTATGCCCCAAGGCCATTCGTGGTAATTAAGTCAATTAGGATGCAATCACAATGCTCACCCAAAGGTGAAAATATAGACAAGGCAAAGTCAAGGGTTAAATTCATCAATTCTAATGAGAATACACTATCGAAGTTTACTTCTGAGTAAGCTATACGTACGAATTGAAATAATTCTTGCATTTAAACTTGTATTCCATAAGATTTCATTTAAAATTCAACTTGAAATTAATGTAGATAATTACTGAGAGAATTAGATTTTTGTACCGTAGTTTATGTGAGATAAGATCACTTGGAGTCGCATGACATGAACCGGTGAATCAAGATGTTGAACCATGAGAGCATAGTAAATTCTTAAATTAATGTCTTTTTACAAATTTGCCTCTATTTATTGTCTTTTTACAAAATTTTAAACGATATTAAAATGTTTATGCCTTCAAAATAAAAATTCTTAGAACTAACATTTGTTAACATATTTTATGTATACTTTTTATGTTGTCACCAATAAAGTCTGCTTGGCGAGATTTGCGCCGGCAAAATGGAAAAGTACCAAATTATATTAATGAAACTGATAATTATTTACTAATATAAAATTATATCATGTCATACAGAAGAAATCATAAAAAATAAACATAAGAAAAATATACAAAATTTATTTAATACATAAAATCAATAATATTTTTAAACACATTTTTAAAGCAATAAGTGCAGTATAAAAACAAATGAAAGAAATGAAAGAAAACATTGAAAAAGTATGAAGAATGCAAGACTTCCTCAGAAGATACTTTTTTATATGCAAGTTGCTTTTAAAATTTAAAAAGAATAACACACGAAAATTCAAAAATATGGAGAATACAAAATTAATAAACTACTGCAACATCTGCACGTATTCTTTCATGAATGCCAGCTGTTGAAATTTGTTAAGAAAAGTTGTGCTTAAATGGCAATTATGTCATCAATATGTTAAGTATGCCCCTTACATTTGATAAGACTGCAACAAGCTAACCTACATATGATTTCATCACTTCAAAAATGGCACCAAAATAAATACATTCAGCATCATTATAATGCACCTGCTCACACTCTCACTTTTGACATGCAAAATCATACCAGAAACCCTCTCCAATGGCAGTAATTTTTGACAAGAAAGATCATATACCAGATTCCCCCACCTCCCAATAAAAGTCTCTCCCAGTGCCTTCTTTCCTAAAATGAAAAAAATAAATAAATAAATCAGAGAGGAAAATGGATTTAGCAATGTAACTGAAAGCTAGGTAAATATGCAAGGTGATACTGAATGTTTTTCTAAACATCACTTTGCCATGCGTTCTTAATCGCGGGAAAAGTCAATAGAATCAGTGTAGCTATCTAATGGAGATTATTTTGAAGGTTAAGTCAATAGCATCATTTTATGCTGTCTAATGGAGATTATTCTGAGGATGATGGAAAAAGAAAAAGTACATTAATAATTTTTTTAATTTCATAATCTTGTGTTTTCAAAATTTTTATAAAATGTTCAGCTAAAAGTCTTTTAACTTTTTCTCTTAATTACATTATTCCCTAAACTGAGTTTAAATACAAATATTATATGGGATGTTTGAAAAAGATAGCTACATGCTTTATTTCCTTGAATACTGATGACAGACATTCAGTTCTAATCGCTAAATTTGTTAAGAAAATTTAGTGAGAACTATTGAAAATTACAAGTAGAAGGAATCTGTAAAAATAAGCTTTTTACACAGACCTGCTAGGACAAAAACTTTAATTAATAAAATATTGGTATGCTTTAACTAAAAATAAAAAATTCATACTTGCAAAATTTGTGGATATATTCAAAACTGAACTTATGGACCAAAGTAACTCATGAAGCTTGAGAATATTAGGGAGCAGCTTTTTAGCTGTTGTTTTTCTGTGTTGACCAAAATAGCGTCTGATATTAAATTAAGGAAAATTCTGAAAATTTCATTTTTAATTAACTAAAGCAAAATTAATAGTTTAACTGGAATTTTTGCTTTATGCAAACAATAAAGAAGTACTTTATAGAAGTTATCCATTATAGTGGGCCATATATTATTGGTGGTACGTTTTTGGCAGCAAGAATATTTTTTATCACAAAATATCTCCAATGACATTTTTGTAATTCATATCTACTGTTGTGTAGAATGTTCTTTCCAACAATCCATAAAAAGTACTGAGTTGTCAGTCACACTGCCCTCAATTACTTCCACTAAAATTTATGCATTCCTAATTTCAAACATTTACAAGTAAAAAAACTCTCTTCTTTCATGAAAAATATCACTAACAGTCCACTGTTCTCGTAATAACCTTCCAACATGATTTTTTCTATTTAATGCAACTACATTCAATAGCAGAAATACAAGTTTTATGAGAATTTATTTTTCAAAAATTTTCTTTGGTATAGCACACAATTCTTATGAAGTAAATTTGAGTTTCTGAATTACTTTTTGTTCACTTTCACCTATTAGTACTTACTTCAATTGTTCTTTTTCTCAAGACCAAAAAAATTATTGAAATGAATATGTGATTTGGTATAACTGAGAAGTACCATATTTACTTTGCGAAAAACATTTCAGCCATACTGTCAAAATTTTTCTAATAAAATTCCTTATTTGTGAAACCATGTATTTAGATGTTTATATCTAGAATGAATATGTTATAACCACCTCTTTTAAAAAATTTAACGTATGTTCTACACCTTTTCTTTTTCAAAAATGTGGTTTCATATGACAGTAACATCACTCTCTGCAAAGGAATATAGCAATTATATGTCTTTTTTAAATATTCAAAAATCAAATAAACATAAAACAACATGAAAATCAAATAAAAATAAATTTTTTGACTCTCAAAAAAATAACTGAACTTACCAAGGAATTCAACAGCCACTGTATTTCCATAAATATCAAGGACGGCCCATAATTTACCAGACGTATTAACACCACCAAAAAATACACCATGTTCCTCATTATCAATACCATAATGAACATCACCATTCTGGTCCACATAGTAAAATAAAATTGAATCTTTCTTGACCTGACGCTCTGCTATGGCTTTAGCCCAGTTTCCATGCATAGATGTTAAATCAGGACATGCATATCGAGGAAGTTTAGATTTCATAGACACAGGATCATTCATTGTAAAACCTATTCTTAAAGCTCCACTCCAGTTTGTTGATATATCTATAAATTTCACAAATATCTGTTCACAAACCATAACCGGGCGATCACTAAAAACAATTCCCTTACAAAAACCTTCGGAGCGACATGCTACTGTTCCATTTTTTGACAACTTTACGTTATCACCATGGATTTGATGAAAATGAAGAGGGTGATAATTGTTTCTCATTCTTAGTGCCATGCCTTCATCAGAAGGTGAAACTGAAATAAAAGAATTAAGCTTAAGTACCATATACAGAAAAGCATAACAAAAAATTACACATGAAAAATTTTATAAAATGTATATAGCAATGTACAATTAATAACTTTACACCAGATTTACCATACAAAAAAAAAAAAAAAAAAAAAAAAAAAAAAAGATATTTTACGAATTTCTAATTAAATCGGAATTTTTTATTAATGACAGGATTTCAGATATAGCATGAAAAACGTGTAATCTAAACAGCTCCTATTTTGTTAATATAACATTAATTTACATACATTCAAATCTAATCAATAATGCAATTAATTTTCTATTTTGTAATTAGCAAGCATGAAATGCACTCCCAAACTATTATTATTTATCTTAAGTCAGTAAACATTATCAACATAAGAAAAGAAAATATACTTTAGTAATTTAAAATACAAATTTAATTTATTAAATAAAGATTACATGATACATTACAAAAATAAAACAATCTTTTTTCAAATCTTCCTGTAATTTTTATTTATTCATTTTATTTTATTTTATTTTATTTTATTTTATTTATTGCACTCTTCTTCTCCTGAAGTACACATAGATCTGTTTTCACTTAAAAAAATTGTAGAATTGCGGAGATTCAGCTTTGTGCAACCCTTGGCAACAACAGTTATCTAGGAAATGCATTTCTCATTGTCCCCTTTAGAAAAATTTCAGCAAAATTCTGTATTCATGCAAAAATTTTACTGCAGTTTCTTTTATGTCTAGCAAATTCCACAAACTCAATGTTTAACCCTTTGCGACACAGTGTGTCCGGTCTGGACACACCTAAAAATTTCCTTCTGTATGCACAGAAAAATTGAATGAAAAAGGATTTATAGGTTACTATGAACCTTCTTTATTTATAGTAGATGGCAGCTCAACACAAACCAGTCCAAATATTTTAGCCATGTTTAGTTTTTTAAGACCCTCATTTTTTTAAGAAATCTTCCAGATTTTTTTTAGGGTATAAAAGGAATTGTTTGAAAAGAAATTTATATGTTATTTTTTTGGCTGTATGCTAATCTTCTTATTCTATATTAGTTTTAAATTTTTACCCTGAAATCTTGCCTAAAATCAAACAGCGAACCCTAGGTGTAGCAAGACTGGGCTCACCGATAATCTAGGACAACTGAGAGTCTGTATTCTTTGTTTGTCCGTATCTCAGCGGTCATTTCATTGACAACAATGCTCATTTTAGCACTCTTTTCGAAGCTCTATTCAATCAGTGTGCCACTTTGGGCACACCTACAGAATTAAAACGATAAGTGCTATCTTCACAAATTTTACTTGTGTACTCCTCTAGGTATAATTAGGCTGCCTACTCTTCTTTTTTTTTCCCTATTAAAACTTTGATCTTAAAAGGTAGCGTGCCGGAAAGAGTTAAGGTAAAAAATATATAATTTGTTTATAAAAACCATTCGAGCTCGAAATACAACAAAAAATAAAGATTACAAAAATGCCCACATTATTGACAAAAGGATTATTATAAGAATGGCTACTGGAAGAATGATTATGCCCACAGCTGCCAGAGTTTGGCACATTCAGAAAATCTGGTGGTTTCAACTAAGGTGTACCAAAAGATTTTTTTTAATAAAAATACCATGTAATTAGCATACTTTTACTATGCAATATCAGAAAATTTTATAAAAAAAACTTTTACTAAAATGGCAAAATTACATGATACTTAACAGAATTATTACAATACTTCTGACTATATCAGCACACAGTACATCTTTTCTCACCAGGGGTAGTCTTTAAGCTGGTCCACCTTCTCAGTACACACTAAACATACTGTAAAATGTCAAAACAGTGAACAGGAAAGTTAATTAAAATTTGTATTCTTTAAGTAAAAACTTGAATTCAAACATTTCCAAATATTTTCCTTGCCTTACAATTGGCAAATTGGTGATATTTCGATGTCTATTTCATTATTCAGGTGTTGTTCTACATACATTATGGTAAGATTTCATAAATGCAAGATCTCATTTTTAAACCTTGGGTAATTCTTAATCAATTTTTCCTTACAAAACTTCTCCTTACAACTAGACACAATGACCAAACTTTTTCAGTTGTATGACAATATCTGGAATATTGTTCTAGGCACTATTTAAAATAAATTGCACAATTTCAAAAAAGATTGCCCTTTAACATCTCTGTTTCATATTTTATAAGGCAGAAACAGAAATAAATTATCCATTAACAAGCAAATTTTCTTTACTACTATCATAATGATTATTATTTAATTGGCTTCATATTTACTATTCAAAAGATTCTATGATTAAACATACTTGCCAACATACGACACTAAAAAATCAGGAGATTTTTCTCAACACAAAGAGAATTTTTAAACAATAAAAATATACTGAAAGAAAATATACTGAAAAAATACACTGAAAAAAAATGAATTAACTTTAAATAAGAACTAATTAATATCTGAAAGTTCAGTTATTATTTCTTAAATGCAAATAATGCAAAAATACTTACATATAAAAACCTGTTTTATTACTCATACCTTCTAATTATAGCAAATGAGCATTGTCTCTAATCATTAAATAATACTTTAACCAGATCACTAATCACTGATTGCAAAATATGAATGAAATTCTGCACTGAAGAATTGTGTTAAGAACGCTGAAAAACGGAGCATACAAGAAAGCAAAAAGCTTTCTTAAGGTCCGAAGATAAAAACATAAATATTCGTTCTTTAAAAGATAAACTTAACGTTAATCGGAAAATGTGTCCCTTTGTCAAACACTTTTTAATTTTACTTTGGGAGAGATTTACGCTTACATTTTTTAGTATTTGCCAATTAAATTGCTCACAGGTGCAGAAATTACTTAATTTTTCTTACATCTATTTTTAACATTGGAAGTAATAACTAAATCTCCATTTACTTAAGATATTTTATAACTTTCAATGCAGACTTTTACTCTAATTTTAGAAGCATTCACTTCTTCCTCAAAAAAATGTAAGATGTGGGTTCCATGAATCGTGGATTCTAGATAAATATTTCCCTAAAGATAACTGTGTTTACATACTTATTTCAGATTTTTTCTTATTTCAATATTATGCAGCTGTTGGAATTGTTTCAATTTTTCCTTCCTTTTAGAAATCTTTTCAAAATAATAACAAATATCAACAATGCGTTCATCCACGCTTACTTCCAGTAAGTGTGGAAGAGTGGCAAGAAGTTGACCCTTTCTTTATCAACTACTAAATTTATGAAGTGAGAGGTGCACCTTATAATTAAGCTTTAATAATTAGCTGTGCTGCATATTAAAGCCTGTCGGATTTTTTCTAGAGTTGGGACAGAAAGTAAACTACTCTCAATTTCTGAAGATTCTGGATTTAAAAAATGAAACTATTGGGTTACAGTTTTGCATTGGTATTATTGCTTCCATCTGTAGACAAGCAGAATGGAACTGTTTTAAGGCAATTAATATAACAGAAAATTTATTTTTCATACCAATTTCTTGAACACATTTCTTCTACAACTGAGGCCGTTTTTGTCCTTGCTCTTGAGTATTTCTCAGCGATTTCACTGACAGAAAACATTTTTCTAAATAAAGTTGCAGCATGATCCGATACACTCAGAGGCAAGTTGTGCTCCAGTAAAAAAGGAACAGAACAGGCATGCTGCATTAGTAATTTTTTGGTCCTTTTGTTTCCACAGAAAATTTTAATTTTTCCAATACAATTCGCATTGTCCTTGTGTATGCACATGCTTGAGAACATCAGCCCTTTCACTGTGCAAAATCGAAAAATCGCAACGATGAATGCATTGCAATATTATATGCTATGTATTGCAATATTATATTTTCTTGATGAAATAATAGAAGAAAAGTCATCTGTGCATGATTTTTGAAAAGTACATGAGTAATTTACATTTTGTCCAGACATAAAGTAAGACAAAAGATCATCGTTTCTTAAACGGTTTCTGGAAAGCACGTGAAGCTTATGCTGCTCACTGACGAGACAAACAAAATAACAACCTCAATCTTGCTTTGTGCTAATTGGTTAATATATGCCAGATGATTTTCAGCAGTGCTTGATTCTTATTGGAGAACTAGAATATAACATTTTCGGATACGTATTTTGGACTCACACACAAAGCAGAAATGCACCATATCTCACTGATGAAACGACTTCTTTTTTTTTTAATTTGTATCAAGAGAAAACAAGCCCTTTCAGACGACAAAAAATCATTTTTTTTAGGTGCTAATAATGAAGTATTAAGCCAAGCTACATAAAAATCATGAAGGAAATTTTTAGAATAAGAGAAAGTCAGAAGAAATATGTTGCAAATCAGGCTGGCAGGAGCATGGTCGGAAATCAGGAGTCTGCCTAAATCAGGAGAGTTGGCTACTCCGAATAAGGAAGGCACAGCAAGGATGCTGTTGAAATCTAATGATTTCTTGGATGACTCCCACCATTGAAAACAAATTTCTCCCTTCAAGTCAGATTTTATAACTAGTGAGCCTATTCCAATTTTTCACAGACCATTTGTTTCTATCTGTGCCAATAATCCTCAACTATCTCTGGATCACCACAAATTTTTCTTAAGTAAATTACTGAATTATGAAGTTATTCATTCCTATTTACAGTGAAAAATGCTTTTAACTCTGAAATTCATTTTATAAATTTAATCCTTTGTTCAGAGACAGATCTATATGTTTCATTCTAGGACACAATTTCCATCAGGCCAAGAAAGCATCCAGAATAACGCAACTGTAGTGCAACAAGCAGCAAAGTAACACTTGATTTTCTTATTTCACTAATTAAATGTTCTACAGTATTTAAGCTATATAAGTAATTTTAGTACGATGCTCCTACGTCTCCCAATCCCTTCCAATGAGTGGGGCTTAGCAAAGTGAGCAGAGTAATCTGACAGATGTTGTCAAGAAAGATATATGATAAAATGCACTAATGATACAAATTTTTATTAACTATGAAAATATAAGATACAATAATGAGAAAAGAA